ATGACTGTTTGCCATGTAGCTCTGGCAGCCGCTGGTTCAGAGGAGGACTTCTCTTCAGTCACAACACTGGAAAGACAGATTCAGATGCCAATATCTGGAGTTTTAAACCCTTCTTTACAGCCTCTCCTACAGCTGTTTCTCTGTCTGCTATCAAGTCGACTGTATATGAGAGGTCTGAAGGAGAAAGTCTGCTTCATGAACCTGAAGGAGACCACCTTAGTTGTCCCACTTCTTCTGGTCCAGTATTCCATTCACCTTTTGTCCAACTCTGCACCAAGTGCCAAGTTCCTTTCTGCTGCTCTCCCTTGACTAAACTTAGCCCTTGTTATCCACGCTGTTGTTCCTGCACTTGTTCCTGTGGAGGTGAATTTTTTTTGTTTTTTAAAGATGACTGCCAGGAGTTCTCAACAGATTCTTTAATCTGCTTCCACTGTGGATAAAGGAGGGTTTGGAGAGCTGCTCAGTAAAATTCACCTAGCTGACTGACAAGTGACTGGGAGGTGGTCTGAAGCCTCATGTCATTCTATCGTGCACAGCTCTGCTGAAAAAGGGAAAGCACCCTACCTAGAGTGTCAACCTCACTTAACGTAGTCTGCAGCTGACATGACATTTGCCATCCAGCATGATTCACTGTGGGTAAATACCAGCCTTACTATTTTAAAGGAATTACCCGAGGTCAGTGCAAGTTCACCCAAACAAGACTGTAAAGGCTGTGATCCCTGGTCCTCTCCTTGGCATGCTGAGTGATAATGTGGAGTTGCAAATGAGTGTCTAACCTCTTCCTTGCTTTCTCTCAGTAAAAATGCATGTTGTCCAAGACAAGTGAAAACAAACATACCGTCTGAAAACAGAGAAGGAGAACAGATGGGCTCATTCTCCCCCCCCCCCCCCCCCTTTTTAAAAGGAGGCATGATGTTTATCGCAAACTAGCCTAGCCCACTCAATTTGCGTCAGTTAGCCGTAATTACCAGGCTGTGATGGAAGATACAGGGGTAGCTGAAGAGCAATTTGATTCACTGGAGCATGAGCTCAGCCCATTCCTCAGGAATCCATCCTTTTGTTTTAGGGATGAAGACATTACACTGGAGAAGTGATGTAAACTTTACTGTGATGCTGCACAGAAAGAGAAAGAAGAAGGATGTAAGGAGATAAGGTGGTTCCAGGCTAATGTAAGTGTCCCCAGGGCTCGCTCAGGAATGCTCCCAGGCATTACTGTCAGGGATTTGGGACCGTGTCTTCTGTCCCGAGAGAATAATGACAAATGTAATTATGATTCCACCTTTCTCCACTCTTTGTGATATCAGTGGCTGCATTTTTGTGTATGTGAGTTTAAATGCCTGAGAATGGATGATGGTTTGGGTCCTTTTAGGTATTGGGTATTTCTATGGACATCAAGCTCCATTCAAAAGTGCCCATAGAAATTGTGTTAGGTACAATTTCCGATGGTCGCATGCCTGTGAGTGCATGAAGATCATTATGCTGTTTTGGTGCACTTTTGGCATGGATACTCAGTTTGCCAATGTGGTTGAAATGGCTCAGTTGGTCTCTCCATACCTGCACCTTTCATGTGCACATGACACTTGTGAAACAGTAAGTTTAGCTGCTACCATCTCCCAAAGCTGTCTACACCCATTTACACGATTCAAAAAGAAAAGAGGAGGCAGAGCAGGAGACTGGTGGAGAGGGAAAGCCAGTAAGAGGTCCAGGTCACATACAACTGAGGAACCACTGACTTTTAAGCAGTGAAGAAGGAAAAAAAATTGCCTTGTACTGTTTGTTACATTAGCTAACACAGCACCTATAGTGTCAGTGCAAAGGAAGAGCTAGGTTGTGTGTGTATAGTAGGTAATGTGATCTGTCCTCTGCAGGCAACTAAACATGTGACGCACAACGTCTGTACCAAATTTAAAACCTGCAAGGACTGATGTATCACTGTGACGCAACTCTGATGCAACACTACAGTTGCACAGTATAAGGGAGTGATATAAGGCTGCCTCTGGGTAAAGATTGCCTTTGCCCCCTACCAATTTGTTTATGATAGATGGTGTCACTAATGTATCCATCAAAAAATGTGAGGTGGTCTATTCCTGACCATATTAGTTAAACCAATGCCTGCAGAAGAGAGGTTGTGTTTGTGTCAGCTTTCTGTATAAATGTAATTTCAGTTTTACAGCAGCTATATTAATACAAAAGTGTTGGTGCAAATAACAGAGAGTGTAGCTCCAGCTCTACCAGAGGAGAGTGGGGAGAGTGGAGAGTTTGGTCATTATGCATTGTGGAAAGTATGCATTAAATATGCATTAAGACATAATTTTGAACCACCATCATTACATATTTATAAAAACACAACTCATGTTGTTTTTCACAGAAATGCTCAGGAAAAGTGAAGCACATTTACTCACTGATGAATTATGTGCTTTTTGTGAGTGATCACACTGATTTCTCCTTCTCTCATAACATCTGACAGTGTAACAGCATTTGGCTGTATTCCAAAAACATTGTTGGAGTCGGACGTCTGTCGACAGCTCACTCTCCCGGTGGCCAATAGACAGCTGACTGAGTCCCTGCATTGAGTCGATCAATCTGTCACTCTCATTCCTAATTATTTTCTTTGACAATCAACAGTCCTCACACTTTAGTATTCTTGAGCTCATCATCTGTGACAGGCATCATTCTTGGCTGTCTGGCAGATTTCCTCTAAAGATTCTGAATCATCGGGAGAAGCGTAGAACTTGTTTTCACTCGTCATGAATTTATTTCCTCGGAAAGCAGAACATGTTACTGCAGAACTTCAGAAGCTCCTGCAGGTTAAGCTGGACTAACCAAACACTACTCAGGCTGATTAACTTTGAAAGTCTCTCTAGAGACAGACTTGAAAACACTTACAAGACTTCAGAAAAACCTATAATGCAACATACTCTAGAAGATGTAGAGTTACACCAAGTGGCAACTGTGACGTTGGTTTGTGAACTGCTGTTTTAAAGTTTGGCATTTTGTTCAGTACCATCTTTCATTTTTGAAACAAGAAGAAAACATATTTGGAAGAAGGAGGGGTGAGCTTGAGGACACTACCAGCCCACCTACATCTGCAACCTGCAATCACATGGTATCTGTGCTCCGAAATATTA